CATCTGGACTTCAAAACTGCTGCATCTCCAGCATTTGAACTAGTTCGGGCTGCGGAGCCTTGACACATCCAGGTCCATGGTGTACACACGCATCGGGATTCCTCAGTGGCAAGTGGCAGCGAAGCGCCACGCTGAAATGCTGAACCCAAACCCTGTGGGGCCCTGTACCTACCCCGAAACACACCCTAATCCCTATAACCTAAACCCTAACCCTAAGCCCTAAGCCCTAAGCCCTAAGCCCTAAACCCTAAACCCTAAACCCTAAACCCTCGGTAGCCGAGCAGCTGGAGCCGCTCACGGTGACTTGGTCTATGAGTCTGCAGGTCAAGGCAACCTGTTCGAGCCCATGCTCAGGATACCTAAACCCGGGAGGTACCTAGGAATAAAGAGGGTAGGTACCCTTTTTGGTTCTAAGGGGATGATAAGGGAACCCTAACCCTAAACAAAAGGAAATAAGGGCCTACTCCCGGTCCTAGACACTCTTGAGTGTGCAAAGGGCCCGCTCTGGGCCCTAGTTTCAGTTCGGGGTTCATGCTTTGGGGGCTTTGAGGCGGTTTAGGATGGGTTTTGTGGGAGCTTAGGGAACAGGATCGTGTACTGTAACCTCCTTCATCCTCACAGTAGCCGTCTCCCTCGAGCAATGACAGGTGGGCTTTGGGCTTGGGGTGCTCCTGGCCTCAAAGGCTGCTGGAGGCCTGATTACGGTTACAAGCTGCCTTTAGGGTTCTGGGTTGTTACCCTCCGTCCGAGTGACTGTTTGCATAAACCCTAAACCCCAAACTCCCAAACCCTAAGCCCTAAACCCTAAACCCTAAATTTCTTTCAGTGTGATGCCGTCTGGGACTGCGAAGCCCAAGAAAGCGCCCAAACAGCAGCAGCAGCGCCTCGTTGCTGCACATGTTCACCTGAGTTTATGCATGGTGGGAGGTGCCACAGGGCTTTAGCAGGGCTTAGGGTTTAGGGTTTAGGGTTTAGGGTTTTTAAGGTTTAGGGTTTAGGGTTTAGGGTTTAGGGTTTAGGGTTTAGGGTTTAGGGTTTAGCAGCCAGGTTTTCAAAGGTCATGTGGCTCTAAGGTTCCGACGGTTACCTTGTTCTGAGGAGGGTTTAAAAGTGGTTCATCACCGATCATCACCGCAGATTTGTGACGGGCATGCTGGCAGGCCTAGTGTTCGGTACACTAGCACTGCTGAGGCTAGTATGGATGTGCGTTGGGATGTTCCCCTCCCCATGATTCCAGCAATCCTTAGTAGGCATTCCCATAGGCGGTACGATGATCCCTATTCAGGACTGTTAGTGTAAGGGGGGGAACATCCCAAGGCCTTGCAAACACACACCGAAGCTGAGCATTGGGCCATGCTGTGTGAGAGCAGCATCCAAACCTTGAACTGAGAGGTGGCTGCCTGGCATGTTGGCATATAAGCGGATATGAGCGCAGTCCTATAGAATGGGTAAGGTCCTACACTGTGGCACCATCAACTGATCCAGCAGCCGGGCAGTTCAGGTCCTGGGTTGTTGAGGAAAGGCTTGCGGTGTAGGAATCAAGGGGGCTCCCAAGGCCACGTGGACAAAGAAGGTGCCATAGGAAGCCGTGTGAACTTGCACGCTTGACAGTCAAAGTGCTGGCTAGCCCTTGGCAGTGAGGAATCAACCCCAAGGCTTGCTTTGCATGGCTCTCGGCAGCACAGGTCGGCGCTGAAGTTTCTAGGGCCACTGCGTCCTGAACCCTCTACCCCTCAAAGCTAAAGCAGGGTTGCAGGTAGCAGCGACTGATGTGAAGCAGAACCAAGTCGTGGAGGGCACGTGTAGCATCTGCAACATGCCATTCCCTACCCAGCTCTGGCTCTAGCATCAAAATCCACCCAGAAGCCGATACTCCGCCCTTATAAACCCTCATTACAAGACTTCAGCAGGAACAGGGCTTGTGCTGAAGGTTAGGGATGCTCCCCCTTATACTAACAGTCCTTAATCGGAATTCGAATACTCCCTATGATAATCCTAAAAAGGTAGAAGGCATAAGGGAGAACATCCCGAGCTGAAGGTTTGGTTTAACCCAGAGCCTCCAGCTTGGAGGCGACATTGACATTGGGAGAAAGGTAGGAGGCATCGATCTTGTACTCACTGCCGATGGCGCCCTGCGTGCATGTCGTGGAGAAGCCACCAAACCCTAAACCCTAAACCCTAAACCCTAAACCCTAAACCCTAAACTAAAGCCTAAAGCCTAAAGCCTAAAGCCTAAAGCCTAAAGCCTAAAGCCTAAAGCCTAAAGCCTAAAGCCTAAAGCCTAAAGCCTAAAGCCTAAAGCCTAACACACACTCAACCCCAAACCCCAAACCCTAAACCCACTAAACCCACTAAACCCCAAACCCACTAAACCCCAAACCCTAAACCCTTCATAAAGCCTGTAGCGGACTAATCCGGCGGCTCCGGGCATCGGCTCAGGTCGGTGCAAGTGTGCTGCGCGTGACCATGCAGGTCGGAAGGGCATGTTCTCCTAAGTATAAACCCTGTGAACCTCGAAAAGCCTATAAAACCCTATAAACTCCATAAATCCTGCAAGTTATAAAAACTCTGTAAACCCTCTAAACACGCCATAAACCCGATAGACCCTATATACCCTAAACCCTACCGAGCTCCATGTTCTGATTTTTGGGGTTTCTCATGTCGCAGGCAACAGGACAAAGGTGAGGGGCAGCTGTACGCTGAGCCTGCTGTGTTCGAAGGACCTTTTCCGCAGGATTGCGAGGGGAGACGACCATCTTGGTATCAATGAAAGTTCTTGCACGAACTCCCAAATAGAGGCTGCCCGCGTCTGCACAATGTAGGGTGTCGGGCATTAGGGTCATTAGGGTTCTCCGAAACCCCAAATCCTGTAGGCTCCAGACTCACCCCGAACCCTAAACCCTAAATTCAACTGGACACTGAGCCCTTTTCAGCTGGGCAGCAGGCCTCAATCACCCAGCCGCAATGCAGGCCGAATCCGAGTGTAACCCGGTAGTCCTCCGAAAGTAGGTCCAGGCTTTCTGTGCATTCTGGTGATCAGCTCTTGGAGGGTGATCAGCTCTTGAGGCTATGAGAGACAGGGTCTCAAGCTTGAGGGCGTGGATTCAGGGGTTTAGGGTTCAGGATTGCGGGTCGATAGGGCTTAGGGTTTGAGGTCCATCATTCAAGCTCCTGGATTCGCATCTGGAAGCCGGGATGCTGGCGGTACGCCGCAATGACGCGGGACCTGAGACAATTCTAGAGGATAAGCGCCGGTTTAGGCCTTGTAGGGCTTATAGGGATCAAGCAGGCGCGGCGCATGCTGCTTTAGAATATTCAGAGCCATCTTCACGGCCAAGCTTGTTTCATCGATGTGCTGGAGGCAGTGGCTGCGCAAAATAAGATAGGGTTATGTGACAAGGTGACATGCTACTGCGTGTCATATATGAGATGCTAAGTATTATGTTGTCTACCGGCATGGGGTCTGCATTCCAGGGCTGCTGCTTGTTGATCTCCGCAATGATTTTGACCTCAGGCCGATGAAGTAGCCACAAGTGATCCAAAAAAACACGACAACGTACATAAAAGAGACAAAAAAAGGCCTTGTGGATCTTATCGGTGTGGGTATGGTCATACTTGTGGGGGAGTCCGTACAATTCTAGCGGCTAAGTTAAGCATCGGCATGCCAGAACACAGGGCCCTTCAACCATGTGGCGTTCCAGTCATGGGCCCCAGGCCCGAAGCCCCTACACCGCTAAGTAAACCCTATTTGTCCGAAGCACGTGGCCAGCCCAATCGGTGCATTCCACAACCCAGGTGCCGGGCAAAGGACATCAGTGACATGTCGGCCAGCTTGGTCTGCTTTTCTGGATGGCTGCCTGCTCTGCTTGAAATTTTTAGCTCTCGATGTTAAATCTTGTCGGCGTCATGGGGAATAGTGTATGTGCGTATTTATAGATACCACATATGGCGTCGATGCATCCCTCAGTGCATTCAGGGGCTCCGAGAAGGCTCGTCCACAGAGATAGGCATGACGGCACTTGTGACATGATGAGCTAGACACCCTGATTCCTAAACCCTAAGCCCGCAACAACTGAAGGGCTCGGAGCAAGGACATTCCCATGGACAGCAAAAAGAAGCCAATCCCTCTCCAAGACCCTGATGCATCCCGTTCAACTTGAAAGCCCCAAAGGCCCCAAGACTTTCCATCCACTCAAAGAATCAACTAGGTTGCCCAGTAACCTAGGATTAATAAGGGTGCCCCTTTTTGCTTAACGGGGTTTATAGGGGAACCTAGAGCCCCCAAAAAGGGAATAAGGGCACTACTGGGCATCCTAGTCAACCGAGGCGACCCAGCGCAAGGCCTGTGAGCCGCCAGATCACCAAGAAGGCGTCCCCGATATTACGGTTTGGCGCACCGTGGAAGTCGTCGACGCCTTGGGTATTCAGGTCGCTGGCGCACAGCACTCGGGGGGTTGCGGGGCCGGGTCACTACGCCCGACACTTGGGCGTGGACAACCGTGGACGATCTCCCCCACCTGGTTCACCTTAGATGAGGAGGCGGCTTTCACAAGTTCATGCTCCGAGATGCAGGCAGATACTGTAGCCCACAGGCCAGCAACTGATCCTAAGCCCCTGGTGTCTTGACTCATCTGAATGCCATCAACATAGACTCTTCAGGGCAACTCCCACCCAGCAAACCACGGGTTTAGGGTAACCCCACCTCACTCCTTCTCAGGATGCAACGAACAGCATCACCTTCTCTTTCAGGACCTGATCATCACACAAGGCAGTGTCAGTTGAGGTTGGACAACTTGGGCTGAGAAGATGCCCTCGTTAACACGCAACTACTGTACGTTGCAAACAAATAAAAAATCACAGTCACTCCTGTATCCTGTACATTTTCATACATGCATACATACGGTTGCTGTATGAGGCAACATGAACACCTAAAAACTAGCACAGAGACAGCGCAAGGCGCCTTTAGGTTCCTTCCGATTCCAGCTACAGGCCCTTCTTTCTTAAGCCACAAGCACCGCAAACAAAAAGGAAAGGCAGGAAGCATAGCGCACCTCTGTAGCCGCCATGAAGTTTCGAATGTTGCAGAAGCCGATGATGGCCTCGACCTGTCCGAAGTCTTCACTACAGGCTGGGGGCCTTCAGCTCCCTGACAAAACATTCCCTCCTAGGATCATCTCACAGAAGCTGAAAAATTGTTGAAAAGGGGAGCATAATAACACAACATCTCAAAGGGCTGGGTGAGTTCAAGGTCCAGGAGCTGGGGAGAAGTATCCTATTGTGTAAAATACATTCACACTGGGGTCGGCCCTAAACGCGACCCTTTAAATCTCGTTTGCAGCAGATTCCTAAACGTGTGCGTGTATCGAACATTTACAGGCGCACATCATGTAGCCCAACCCCTACTTATACCCCAAGCCGCAGACCCCCAGGCCCCTTCATGAGCCACCTCCCGAGCCCGCACCCTAAACCCTGCAAGTGCTGTCATCAAGGGTGTAGTGGTCTAGCCTTTAAAGGACTCGCATGTGTCGTGATTCGGGGTTGAGGGTGTAGGGTTGTGCGCCTAAACCCGAAATCCTAATCCCGAAGACGCTAAAGCCCTATAGTCTGGGATCCCCGGGCGGAAACTTGGTAGCCCGGCAACCAGAACGATAAAGGCTTTAGGCTTCAGAGGTCCTAACTGTAGGGGTTTGGGTTTAGGGTTTAGGGAACCCAGAATGCCAAAAAAAGGTGAAGCCTTGGAGCCCGGAACCATGGCATTCACCCCAGCAGTGGCACTCACCTGGCTTCGCACAGTTTTGGGGGGTTCATGTCAGGCTCGGCTTCAGGGCTGTATAAGGGTTGATAAAGGGTTTTGGCGGGGCTTTAGGGTTTAGGGTTTAGGGTTTAGGGTGTAGGGTTTAGGGTTTAGGGTTTAGGGTTTAGGGTTTAGGGGCTTTAAGGGTTTATACGGGCTCAAGGGCTATGGGGTTTAAGGGTGTTTTCAGGGTGTGAGGGTTTAAGGGTTTAAGGGGTTTAAGGGCTTCGGGCTTCGTGCGGGCCGTTTTCGGGGCCAGGGTTTAGGGTTTAGGGTTGAAGGTGTAGGGTTTGGGCTTAGGGTTTAGGGTTTAAGGCTTATAAGCCTAAGTAGGGTGTAGGGGCTACAACTTCCGCTTCTTACTCCCTCTTAAACTCCCTCTGAACTCCCAACCTCCGGCTCCGAGTGCTGCAAGAACCCTGCAGATCATCAGACCCCCACACAAAACACCCACAAACACCATCATGAGCCCTGTAACGCCTACCCTAAAACGCATATAAACCCCAAGACCGCGGAATTCTCCCTCCCTCCCTCCCCCCCCCCTGCAAGCCCAGAATCCTGCACCTACAAACCCTTTAATAAGCCCTAGAAACCCAATAAAACAACCCCATAAACCCTACAAACTCTATAAACTATAAACCCTATAAACCCCATAAACTGTACAAGCCCTATAAACCGGATGAACCCTATAAGCCTTCAATTATGCACCCTAGAAAACCCCCATACAAAACCGTATAAACCCTACAAACCCTACAAACCCTATAAGCCCAAGAAGCCCTCTAAACCCTGACTAGGATGGGCCATCCTTGTTAAACCCTAAACCCTAAACCCTAAACCCTAAACCCTAAACCCTAAACCCTAAACCCTAAACCCTAAACCCTAAACCCTAAACCCTAAACCCTAAACCCTAAACCCTAACCCTAAACCCTAAACCCTAAACCCTAAACCCTAAACCCTAAACCCTAAACCCTAAACCCTAAACCCTAAACCCTAAACCCTAAACCCTAAACCCGAAACCCTAAGCCGCGGCCTTCATGTTCTGGCCAATGACCTCCGCCCCCGCCTCACCAAAACCCAGGGCCAGGAGCCCGCCGAGCCTTGGGGGGTGGGGGGGGTTTAGGGTTTAGGGTTTAGGGCTTAGGGCTTAGGGCTCAGGGCTCAGGGCTTAGGGCTTAGGGCTTAGGGTTTAGGGGTTTAGGGTTTAGGGTTTAGGGTTTTTAGGGTTGAGGGTTTAGGGACTAGGGTTTGGGGTTTGGGGTTTAGGGCTCTGAAAAACCCGCCCCTGTGCTGGCTAGTGAAGGAAAAGGTGTAGGATGCTCGCCCGGTAACCATATTAAAGTAAAAGGCTACTCTTTTTTGGGTTCGTTACTTTATAAGGGAACCCAGAACCCAAAACAGGGTAGAGGGTACCACTGGGCTACCAGGGGTACGTAGGAAGAACTTTGGGAGCCCCACTTGATGATGGTCTTCTCCAGCATGACCGTCTCCATTGGCTCCTTGGGTCGATGGGTTTAGGATCGTAGGGTTTAGGGTTTAGGGTTTAGGGTTTAGGGTTTAGGGTTTAGGGTTTAGGGTTTAGGGTTTAGGGTTTAGGGTTTGAAGGGTGTAGGAGCACCACAGTGCTTCATCGAGTGGAGCTTAGGAAGAAGACGGGAGGTTTAGGGTTTGGGGTTTAAGGTTTAGGGTTTCGGGTTAGGGCCCCTCTTGGCCCTTGAAGCCCTAAAGCCCCAGTCCTTGTGTTTCTTGGCCCGGCGGTACTGGTAGAGAAGCTGGCGGAGAAAAGCGTGGCCGCATGATGGTGGCTTCTCTTCGGGTTTAGGGTTCAAAGTTTCGGGTTTCGGATTTCAGGCTTAGGGGACCTCTGGGGGGTTTTGGGATGTTTTTGGGGCGAGCTTGCAGGATCACACGAGCTAAAAAGCGTGTCGCAGAGTGATTGGCAGCTTCTCCTGGGACATCCTGAAGACAACACAATCCAACTTTTCCCAGAAACCCTGAAGGACCCCGAAAGCGAGAATCGTCCCGAAGCCCCAAACCCTAAACCATAAACCCTAAAACCAAAAACCTTAAACCCAAAACCCAAAACCCAAAACCCAAAACCCTAACCCTAAACCCTAAACCCTAAACCCTAAACCCTAAACCCTAAACCCTAAACCCTAAACCACACCAATCTCAATTTGCGGTGAGCCCTGGGTTCTCTTGACCCACCTGCCAGGGGCGGCTCATTTTTTCCAGCTTCTCGCGGAAGCGAGCCTGCTGACATGGGGTCTATGGGCCTTATAGGGTTTAGGGTTTAGGGTTTAGGGTTTAGGGTTTAGGCGTTTAGGGTTTAGGGTTTAGGGCTTCAACTTCAAGAGTCCAGCTTCCTTGCTGAGTTTTTGAGATCAAGGGGTTTGCTTCTGGTCTCGCAACCCGAGAAAAAGTTAAACACTTGCCCAACCCCTAAACCCTAAACCCTAAACCCTAAACCCTAAACCCTAAACCGCAAATTGCGCCGGAGCACAGGATTTGATCTGAGGATTTTGGGTTCTCGACTGCTCTGAAAGGGTGGACCACGAACTCTGCGCCTGAGACCTTTGTAGGGACCTAAAGCCCCAAGCCCTGACCACGCGACACCGTGGAAAGCCCGAGCCTCCGCCTCATTGGGTTTAGGGTTTAGGGTTCAGGGTTCAGGGTTTAGGGTTTAGGGTTTAGGGTTTAGGGTTGCTCAAGCCTCGTCGACTTCCTCCCTCCTGAACTCCAAGTCACCAAGGCGCATTGCCTGGCTGCTGCGTTTTTCAGGGTTTAGGGTATGTCTAGGGTTCTGGAGTTGAAAAGGGATGCCAACTTTGTAGGGTTTAGGGTATGGTTAGGGCTCTCGGCATGTGGAGCAATAAGCATTTAGGGGTTCTGGAGTTTAAAGGGATGCCAACTTTGTGTTTCGTGTCATGAACAAGGCTTCAGGGCTCGAACGTGGACGTTGGAGGCATACCTCACGACAAGACAGCATCCGATTTAGCATCAGGATGCACCGCGGTCTCTTCTGCAAACAAGAGTGCAAGCGCATCCTCGCCCTCTGCCACCATTCGCAAAGCCCTCGACCCTGAATTCCAAACATCAAACCGGAAGGACCCACAGTAGGGTCTACAAGGCCTCCCCTCAGCATGTTCTCCGTATACTACACTTATTAGGCATAGCTCACTAACTACTAGGTACACAAGGGACAAAGCCCCAAAACCCTAAACCAAAGTTCGGGAACCTAACCAAGCCCCCAAACCCCGGAAGCCCAGATGGCATGCCTCAAGCGGGTTGTCTTTGATGGTCTCCATCTTTTCAATCATCCGCTCCTGATCAACTCTGGGCTGATAAGGAGCTCAGAACAGGCTTGACCATGAGAGAAGGCTATACTGGAGCCTATCTGATATTGAATGGACACTCATGTTGGTGTTTTACTTTACATGTGCAATAGGGATGGTAAGGGGACCATATTGGTGACTATTTTGGCTCTGCTTCCAGTGGGCGTGCGGCCGCCATGGTGGTATTCTGATTGCTTTACTCGCTGAGGCTGCCACGATGGGGTTCAGAAGCAGCTCATTTGCGTCCTTCGACAGCTGAAAGGTCAGGCCGTCAAGCAGGAAGAGATTCGGGCAGGATGGAGGGGTGAGTGCATCCACTTGCAAACACTTGCAGCTTCATAGATCCCCTTCCTCGTGCAGCACCTCACCTGGGTACATCAAGCCTGACATAGACAGGATGCGTCCCAGCCGAAGCAGACTCCCACCCAAGCCCCCACGGCCCAACAAAGACCCTTGCAGCCCAAATGGCCGACGTGCCAATACCTAAACCTCGTGCTGTCGCAATCCTATATCTGCAGGCCAAAAAATCGCCCATGACATATCAATATCCTCCAGGTGCCTGCCCGCCCCCTCCCCCTCCCCTTCTCAAAACCTAAGCCTGGAACCCCCCATCCCGGTCCGTGGAGAAGGTCATGGCCCCAACGCCCACAGCAAAGCAAATGAAGAGGGTCTGCAAGATGCTGAGTCCAGCCTTTGTGCGGGAGGCAAGGTGCTTTAAGGTTCCAGAACAGGGGTGTCAAGGATCATATAGAGGAGGAACTGGATGAGGATTTGGATAAGGAGGATTATGAAGCAGATGGGCTTCGGGCTCAGGGTTTGCTGATGGGCTTGGGCTCGTGATGCCAGGTCGATATGGTCTCTCAGGGCGTAGGGACTGCAATAGTTCGTCAGCCTAAGATGGAACAAAGCCAGAAAATGGTCCCTGGACTCCCAAACGCTGAAGACCTACACGCAACGAGGGACACACTCATGAACCTAAACCCCTCCTCAACAAAAGCTCGACCAAAACCTTAAGGCCCCATGGATCCGGCCTCTAGCTGGGTGTAGCCTCTCTGGTCAAAGGCAAAGAGGAATGAGAACGACTCACTTTCCTGCATCGCAAGAACAACCACCGCACCCCCTAACCCCTAAACAAACCCCCCAAACTATCCGAGCGCACCCCTTAACTGCAGGTCGATCAGCCTTCCTCTGCTAGGAAGCTTGACATCTGCAAGCAGTCGTGCTCTAGGACTTCAGCAGATCCCTGATCTCATGCTATCTGAAGAAGGCTCCTGGGATGTGAAGGACAAGGGCGTGATGTACTGCACCTGCCAGCAAGAGGTTTCCTAAGTCCTTCTGCTGCCCGAAAACCACTCGAGCAGCATAGACTGTAAACGCCTGAGCCCGAAACCCTAAAGTCGATAGCCCTACATGTCGTCGAGGTACCTTCTTGCCAAGGAATAAGTAGGGTTTTTAGGGTTTAGGGTTTCGGGTTCAAATTCCAATTGTCTATCTGAGCAATATAGGGTGAGGCATTATTCTGTCGAGTTAGGGTTCGCGTTCAATCCCTCTGATAAATATTCTCCCGTATCTGGCCCTCTAGAATACATACAGGGAGCACGACCAGGGACCTACCTTGAATTCTGAAGCCCTTCAAGTTTGACACGATTCCTAATTTGAAGCTCTGCGGCCCGTGCAAGCCCCAGGGAGGGAGGGTGCAGGGATCAGGGTGGGGTTTAGGGGGTTTCGGGGGTTTCGGGGGCTTAGAGCTTAGGATTTCTTCACTTCCTCAAAAACGGAACGAACCAAGGGAACCCTTACTGCAACATGGTTGCTAAGCTCTCGGGTGTACAGGTTTCAGGGCTTGGGGGTGTAGGGCTCACCCTAAACCCTAAACCCTAAACCATTTCGGAGTTGATGGGGTTTAGGGCCGCCCAAACCCAATACCAAATACCCAAAACCCTATACCCTAAACCCAAAATCCTAAGAACTCGCCTACCTTAAGGGACCCGCTGCCTCTGAGCACCTGAGCTCGGCGTCGACAGAGCATCCGGTGGCGGTCGTCGCGCGCAACTCCTAGGCGCGGTGGGTGGGGATTTTGACCAAGTGGTTTCAGGGCTTCAGGGTTTTAGGGTTTAGGGTTTAGGGTTCAGGGTTTAGGATTTAGGGTTTAGGGCGAGAAGACTCAATACTGAAACCAGCTTCTACGTCAACGACCATGGCTGATCTAAGTCACATTGCTCGAAATACCAGTACCTGTCCCCAAAATATCCATAAGGAAGGTCCAGTTTCGGTATGGATTCCCCCTTTGGAGGGACCCCTTTCCAATGGCCCATCTCCCTTCAAAGGTCATTTAGGACAACCCGCGGCCACAGTCCTAACTGCCAAGAAACCCTTAGGGTTTAGGGTTTAGGGTTTAGGGTTTAGGGTTTAGGGTTTAGGGTTTAGGGTTGAATTCGAAGAGCCTTCCAACGACTGGGAAATCGGCTGGCTGCACGACGATGCCCACCGCGGAGCGACACTGCTCCTGCCACACGTTGATCAGCCTGCAAGAGCACGCCATTGATTCAAGGGTATAAGGAGGGACCCCTACAAAAAGCCTTTAATCTTATTCCCCTATACAACCCATTTGGAACCCCTGTATATACATATGTATATATATATATAGATACATGTACACCTCATATAGTCCTTATGTACTTAAATCACCCCTAGGGTCCCTTAGCACGGTCCCTCCTTTAGTCCCTTGAGTTTAGGGGATGCCAAATATCCTTATATACACGGTATTTAACAAGGGCCCATACTTCGGATTCCTCTATAAACCAGGGCAAGGCACCACACTAATAAAGGGCCCATGGTTCCGACCTTTTAGGCACTTCTTCAAGGGTTAGGGATTCATAGGGTGGTCATACAGGAGTTGCAGACACCCTAAACCCTAAACCCTAAAAAGGTGCTCAGCATCCTGGGCCTGAGGAAGATACTTACAATCATGAATCCCTGGAAGTTCCCCCTGGTTCTTAGTAGGGAATGGGGGAATGAGGCACCCTGCATAATCCCCTTAAGGGTCTACACATAGGGGCCCTTTAAGGGTATCTACATAGGGGGTCCTTGAGGGTATGCTATCGGGGGATCTAGGGTGCAGTATGTACCTCATTCCCTCATTCCCTACTATAAGAATCAGCCAGAGTCTTCTAGTCCAGAGGTGTACGTGTCCCTCATCCGTCTTCACATCGAAGGAACCGACTTCCCGCTGTCGCACCTTCTAAGCCTAAACCCTAAACCCTAAACCCTAAACCCTAAACCCTAAACCCTAAACCCTAAACCCTAAACCCTAAACCCTAAACTCTAAACCCTAAACCCTAAACCCTAAACCCTAAACTAAACCCTATCAAGCGCAGCTGAGGCCTGGTTTTGGTCACGCCGGGTAGAGATGGAACAGCCTGGCAGCACTTTGTCTGAGGCGCGGGACGCGTAACGGGCTCAACGCCAGAGCACACTGCAGGAGACTACTTGGCGATTAGACACCTTAAATCCTAAACCTTAAACCCTAAACCCAAACGGCAAGTGACTGACACTTTGACATACTTAGACTAGTTATGAATTTCCGACAGAAGTGGGCACTAAGACTCGCTCATCAGCTACGGTCCAGTGAGAACCCGCCCCAAGACATAATTGCAGCCTGCATGACACTTGCTAATCACATGACAATCCAGCTGGCGCTGCGTCTCCCTGAAAGAAGTCGGTTCGCGCGTAGACTCCATCCCAAACGACCTGGGAAGAGGCGCCGAGAGCACAAAGGAACCAGCCCGATCTGGACCGCCGTTACCATCTATGCAGACTGCGGGCTAAATGTCAAAATTCTCAGCCATGGAGAGCTTACTGAATGAAAAGATCCGGGTGACTGGGTTGAGTTGGGTGGAGCCAAATTTAGCACTTCCAGATTCGTTTTCAATCAAACCATTGAGATCCTTTTTTGGATCCTGCGCCCTAGCCTTGAACGCCTTCCTCAGGTACCCTGAGCGGTGTAGGACGAAGTCAGCAGTATGGCCGCCCTAGAAATACAGACCTGACGTGAAGGGTTGACGCCTTTGAGGGCTCGAAGGCATCGCGGCTTCTTCCCGAATGCAAGGAAGCTCTGACAGCTTAGACACATAGAGCAAAGTACCGCTGACAATAACAGCGGACCTAAAATGAAGTTAAGAGACTATTGCATAACTTTCACACTGCAGAATGCAAATACGAAGTTTCTACATCAAAAATGACTAAATACATTTTTGGAAGTATGTGTATTTGATATATCGTATGTTCTGGCAAGCAATCGAGGGCTTACATCCCATGGAGTCAGCGCCGCAGGATGGATCACCCAGATTCCTGACCCCCCCCACCCCGCAAACCCAAAACCCTGAACCCTAAACCTTAAACCCTAAACCTTAAACCCTAAACCCTAAACCTTAAACCCTAAACCCTAAACCCCGTAAACCTTGAACCGTAACAGCGAGAAGGCCGAGGGACGCTGAGGCTGTCGGGATTCACCCAGAGATCCTGAAGCCAATTAGGGCTAGGGTTTAAGGGTTAAGGCTTAGGGTTTTCGGTTTAGGTGACAAGCATTGAAATCACCAAGTGCAACAACAAAAACAAAGGCGTGGCAGGACGCGGAGACACACACACACACACACAGAGACACACAGAGACGCAGAGACACAGAGACACAGAGACACGGAGACACAGAGACGCAGAGACGCAGAGACGCAGAGACACGGAGACACGCAGACGCACCCACACACGCACACACACACACACACGCACACACACACACACACACCAAAAGAAAAAAATGAACACCGAAAGACCGCTTCGCATACAAGATTCATACAAGCACAGGCCTAGCTGATTGAAGCGATCAATATCTTCAAGCATTGGCCTGGATTCGTGATGTTGATCTAGGTGTATTGTGAAAGCCTGCAAAACTCAGGAGAGGATATTTTTGCTGACACGAAGAAGTCTTGAAACCCTTCGCAATCCAAGAAGTGACCGACATCATCTGCATCGCGCGATAATACGAAGACATTGGCAGAAGTGTGCACAGTGGGCTGCTTGATATATCCAGAAAAATGGTCACAGCCATGCCAAGATAGCAGACAGAAACGGCGATACAAGAAGTTTGTCTCACCTTTTTGCACGTGTGGCTCCCTGCTCTGATCTCAACTAATGATGCTTGCATGCGAGGTGGGAATCTTCCTTTAGATTTTGGGCGTGTGGGATTATGCAATTGAATTACTTTTTTCTGCCGTGACTTAGCGAACTTTGCTTTGCATGTACGCATTCGGAGGCAGACCGAGGTGATGGAGCTGCAGCTGTGTATGTGTCGAACTGTCTGTATGGCCTGCGGAACTCAGCGCATGCAAAGACATTATTGAAGCCACGAGTAGGAAGATGGTTGGGGGCACACAAGTGTGTGAGCTGACATGTGTGTGTGTGTGCGCGTTACTGTGTTGCTGTTGCTTTGTATCCGTGTCCTGAATAGATTTCCGGCTTGCACAAAACAAGCTCTGACATGCCATGCCTTCCTACAGTGAGCATGACGAGGCAATCCTTATAGCCCTGGCTGTTCATTCCTTGCATCTCGAAGTGGGAGTTCCGCTTCTGCGATTTGGGTGCTAACCGGTCTCGATCTGTTCGATCTGTTTCACTGTACCTTCACAGTGGGTTGAATGATGAGCCCAAAGATGTTAAAAAAAAAAAAATATATATATATATATATGTATAGATGGTAAAAGATAAATCAGAAATGTTCAGGACACATATTGGAAGGGATCGAGCCTACAAGCGAGAGATCCGAAGGCCTACCTTCGGCTATCCGTTTTTTCATTGCCGATGTTAGAAGAAGACTACACAGTAACACAGTACACAAAGGCAAGCATGAGAAACACAAACAATCAGTAGCGGATCCTTGGAGCAAAATCCAGGCGCCCAGCCGTTGCGGTTGTTGCTTGGTTGTTGACTTGTTGACTTGTTGCTGCTTGTTCTTCTTGTTTTCGATTCGATGGGAGGGATAGGGCAGCGGCGGGGAACCGCCGCACCCCTAACCCTAAACCCTAAACCCTAAAAACCTAAAACCCCAAAACCCTGAACCCGAAACCCCAAGCTGGGCCGCGCCTGTCCCAGAAAGCGCTCTTGGTTTAGTGGCGACAGCCTTGGCACTTTACCCCGCGCAGCGCCAAGCCCGAGTAGTAGCGTCTTTGAGACTGCCATGTCGGTAGGGGCTTAAGGGTTATAGGCCTTATATGCCTTAAACCCTACAAACCCTACGAACCGAACTCTACAAACCCTACAAACCCTAAAAACCTAAACCCGGCAGGGCTTCAGGGTGTCTGGGGTCCAGTTTAGGACTTCGGGCCTGGAAGGTTCAGGCGGTCAGGGAGCATTCACGTGTGACACCACGTGCCCGTGTCCAGCTCTTGAGGCTTGCTCCTCTTCCCTTGGGTATGGGGTTTAGGGTTTAGGGTTTAGGGGAGGGTTCGGTTGAGGGTTTTAGGGTTCAGGGCGTAGGGTCGGGTTTCGGGTTGGCTGAAGTTTCTTTTTTGAAGCCGAGACAAGTTCCCTCTTTGAGCTGCCAGCTGTCCCAGGTATGTTGAATCCACCCACCTTCTAGACGTCGCCCCTGCCATGGGAGTGGAGGCGGATTCTCCGGCCCCAACCCCAAGGGTAGAATAGGGCTGTTTAAGGAGGGTTCCAATGGTACCAGAAACTAAACATGAGGTTCAAAGCTTAGTCTGCTTAGGGCTTATAAGCTTTTGGGATGTTCGTGGGGAACCAAACCTGGCCTCACGAACGCCACAGCACGAGGTTTGGTAGCGTTTAGGCTACCCCATGACCTAAACCTGAACCCTATAAGATGATCCGGCTTATCCTGAAACCCTAAAACCCTAAAACCCTCAAGCCCTAAAACCCTAAAACCCTAAAAACCCTAAAACCCCAAACCCTAAAACCCTAAAACCCTAAACCCTCAACCCTATAGACACCCTTCAACCCAAAACCTTCAGAACCCCAAACGCCCTGTGCGTTTCGGAGGGCCCCTCTGAGGTTGCGGGGGGGCTAGAAAGGTGTATGGTACCGCAGCGATTGTGATGATCTCCCTTCCTGCTCGTGCCTTATACTGCCCACTCCTCCCACGACGCCCGGCCCGCCTACCCAGTAGAGGCGGTAGAAAAAACTTCCCTGGATGTGCACGTGCAGAAAGTTCAGCAGAGCAGCCTGCCAAGATGCGACAGGAGATATGTTCACACAAGGCACACGAAGCAAAGCCTAACACGACAACATGGATAAAGGGGGTTCGATTCGAGAATGGTCGATGCGTCACTATTCAGGGGTGCGGGCTGAGCTTTTCTTCAGTGCAGCAAGGGTGATTTATATCATTAGCTCATTTTCCCCGCATGTATCTCAAGAGCCACTCTTGTAGGCGGGGATGGTGGTGCGGAGCCTCTTGGGATGAACACCAAAAAACTCTGGACCTCCGTGTGGGGTTGATGCGGTCTAGGGTTTAGGCATCTGAACTCCAGATGCGGTGATCCTGCTGAACCAATTCTCCACTTTGAGGCTGCAATAGGGGCCTCTCTTTTCATGTTCCGCATAACGACACTGAACTTCGTGCGACTTTGAGCTTCATTTTCAGCAGGTCTTCCGCGAACCCTCCTACAATGTCACGCACCATGCCTTGAGTCCGATCCTAGGTGCTCATTTGTGAAAAGGCTGCGGCAACTCTGGCTACCAGGTGGCATTTCCTCACACGTAACCCTAAACCCTGCAAACCCTCCATCTAGTTCGGGTTTGGGAGAGTATTAAAAGGTAAACTTCCTTTCCTTATTAAGTTGAAGTACCCGTAAAGATGTTAAATGTTACCCCGCTATGACAAAGACATGGGAGGCAGGAGCTAGGCTAGTATCCAGGCCCGGACTCCTGCAAGTGGCACATGTAAGCTTCCGACATGGCATGCTTCTAGCTGCAAAGGGTTTAGGGTTTAGGGTTTAGGGTTTAGGGTTTAGGGTTTAGGGTTTAGGGTTTGGCAGCATGCACCGAAGCGCCTCCATCTCAAATCGATTTCCTTGGCTGTGCTTTGTTGCGCTTTGGCCGGTTGCGAGTTCAAGGCCAGATTAGGTATTCTGCGGCCTGAAACCTAAACCACCTTGTGGGTACTTTTCATACCTTTTCATGCGAGTCTACGAGAGGACATCTGATGCATCATGCTTATATATATATATATATGTACATATACATATATATATATATATATATGTATTCTTGCGGAAAATATATGTATATGTATATATCATATATCTATCACCCCCCGCCCACCCCCCCCCCCCCCACTCCCCAAAGAGACCCCAATTTCAAACAACCCAGGCAAAAACGTGTGAGATTCCCCCTGAATGGTGGGGACATGTCGCATTGGGAGGGCGGCTCTCCTTAGGCTTTATGTCTTAGGTTTTAAGGTTGGGTTTAGGGTTTAAGGTTTAGGGCTTTAGGTTTAGGGCATAGGGTGTATAGGTTTAGGGTTCAGGGTTGAGCATTGTGTTCAGGACCATTCCCCTATCTTGAGCCCGCGGACTGTAGTGATCTTGCTGATTCTCCGTGGGCGTCTGCAAGGCGCTGAAGCACCAGGGCCTCGGCAGAGAGACATCATGAGGGAAGGTGTAGGGTTTAGGGTTTAGGGTTTAGGGTTTAGGGTTTAGGGTTATACTGCACCCGAATTCTGCAGATTTTCATCGCAGCACGATCAACACATCCGCTGCTTTGAGACTGTTGGGATGGTTTCATGCAGAAGGAGAAGGTGTGGATGGGCGTTGTGTCGCAGCCAGGTGTGAGGCCCTTAAGAGCTTGCTGCGTGCAATCTCTTCAACCGTAAACCTTTGTAGACATCCTACTCCTGAGCTCCATGTCCACAGAAGAAAGAAGGGGCTCCGGCTGACCCGTGGTATTGTGGCCCCCGCACCAGGATCTCCATCTGCGGATAGGAAGAAGGAGTGATGGGTCAGACGGGTATGCTAGGTTGCCCCAGTAGCCCTCATAAGAAGAGTGCACTGTTTACAGGTTTCTATAAGGGAGCCCAACCCGAAAAAAGCAGGAAGGATGGTCCTACTGGGTGCCCCAGTATCCAGTATGGCGAGGCCCACAGGATGGTAAACTGCACGGGGACACGCGAGACTGCAGACCAGCAGCCGCAAGTACCTGTAGCCCATAGGCTTACTGCCCTAAACCTGCCCTAAACCCAAAGCCTTACGGAAAACGAAGGACATGAGGTGCCACTCTAAACCCGAACCCCTAAACCCTGAACCCTACATCTTAAACCCCAAGCCCTTAATGCATCGAACTTCCCAACCGATTGCATCGACGGTTCTTGACCCTGCTAGTATTTTAACGATGGACTTGTTGAATAACTTAAACTAAGTTACCAGAATATGAACTTCTATGTGTATTTATATATATATATATGTGCGCATTGTATGTCTTTTTCTTAGATTATGTTTCATAATTCTAGTAGTACAACAGCATGGTTCCCTGACAATTGTCTACATGAAAAATGCGTAGCGACCCCTTCTCTGGACCTGAGAGCCGGTTCAAACCGCCAAAAACGAGCCCGCCGCGCCTTTCATAAATGAGGTCCGCGGCGAATTTCGCAGATTCCTGACAGCTTGTGGCGTGCAGAAGCAACCACGGCTAGGGTTTTAAGAGATGGCTGCAAGGGTGTGAGGGGGGGGCTGTCCTAAGTATGTACAGACAACCCAAAAAGAGGCCCCAACACCCCCAAGATGCCTTCAACCCTGAACTTCCCTGAAAACCTTCAGGGCTTTTGGCTTCGGGGTTCTGAAAAATTCTCGTGCTCGGTGACGGCTTATAGCTGGATAAGTCGCCGGTGCACTTCAAACGGAAGTGGGCGCCAGAAACAACAGGGGGGGACTCAGATGGGTTCGCTGATCAGGGCTCCGGTGTGTGCTTCCGGAAAGAGCTGCGCCCCAACACCCTTTCCTAGCCACAATCTGCGGTGCGCTGGTCCTGAAAGTCAGCAGTGGAGATGAACATGTTCCCTGATGGCTCGAATTGCGGCAAGACAACCAGCATGACCTCGGCTTCAAGGTCGGGAGGGGGGTGGTGGCAGAGTTCCCAGCGTTCTGCACGCTCGAAGCAGCAGCCACGTTATGAAACAGGTTTCAGAGGGTCATCCTTCAACCCTCCACAACTGTTCTGTCTGGAGAGCCTATAGGGTTTTGATCCTTCGTTGTTTTTTTGTGTGATCCCTATCCCCTAAGACCCGTTTAGGCTTGCTGAGTGGAGAACCGATCCCTGTGCTGACAGAAATCATCAAGAGCCAGACCAAAACAAGAACGATGACTCTGCGAGTCGTCATGTCCTTCCAGGTCCGGGCGGAACTGAAGCTTAATATGAGGGGGCCTTACTTATTAGAATAGCATTTTCTTTGTTATTGGGGGAGGGGGGGGGTTACTATAGCATACTTAAAATTAAAAGGGGACCAGAAGGGAATACTACAATTAATTCTTCCAACCCCTATATTGAGCCCGGGGTTTCCGCATCGGTTGAGGCACCGGCAGGGTCTCAGTTTGAAACTCAGAACTCATGCAAGAAGGCATAGAGGGCAGATCTTGCTCTGGGACCCTCTGCATCGCACGGGTTCGGGCGTCTGTAACCCTAAACTCTAGACTCTAGACCCTAAACCCTAAACCCTAAACTCTAAACCCTCAACCCTCCCACAGCAGTCCGAGAGCTTCTTGCCCACGCGCGTCTCTTGTTTTGGCTCATCCTGCGGCCAAGTGTAGTGCAACCCGCTGAACTTCTGTCAGGCTTAGGGCTTAGGGCTTAGGGTTTAGGGTTTAGGGTTTAGGGCTTAGGGCTTAGGGGTTAGGGTTTAGGGTTTGGGGTTTAGGGTTTAGGGTTTAGGGTTTGGGGTGTCGGGTTTCGGGTTTCGGGTTTAGGGCTTAGCACGACACATGCACCATGGACGTCGGGACTTGGCCAGGTCTTCTCCGGCCTCTTCTCGTTGCGCATCCTCGCCTTCGAAGTCGTCCTGGCAGTGTATCTAAGGATGTTCCGTGAATCCTCCCAGCCAGAACGACCACACCTGAAAGGTCGAGGAGAGTAAGCACAACATGCCATCTAGAACTGAAAGTTCCACAAAATCATTGCCGATCCGCCCAGCGTGACTGAACTAAACATCACCCTGGCCTACTGAAAGCATGCAGGGGCTGCCGAATCTTCGCCATCCTGTCTGACCTGGCAATATCACAGGGCCTTTGGGGATGCGAAGATCCCAACAAGCTACAAAATCCATCGAACAAATCCAGCGCGCGAGCCTGGAACTCGGACCTTGACTCGGTCGGCTCCTGGGCGTGGAGCTCATGGGGGTCCCCGGATGCCCTTGATTCAATATGTTGATAGACAAAGCACACACTACCTCAAACCGCTTCCATGATCTGAGAAGAAAAGACATGATAACATGAGGGGCCTGTTGGCTGTAAATGGGAATTATGGGTAGAGTCGAGCCAGCATGGTCTACGAAAAAGGGAGTGTAAGGAACATGGGCACACGATGCCTAACGTCGCAAAGCACCTTACTCTCTCAACCCTAAACCCTACACCCTAAACCGTGAACCCTAAACTTAAACTTAGCGACCGAAAGCCTAAACTCTTGACCCGACTAATTTCACCCTCCACCTTAAACCCTCAGACCCCTGAAATGACAGCCTGGATGGTCTCGCCAGGCTTGAGTTCTAAGAGCTTCTGCTTCCTCGCCAGCTTGCTGAGTCAACCCAAGACAGCACCACACATCATCATGAGTTTCTTGTTTTCGTATATTCGTATACTTGGATATTCATATATATATATATGGATAAATGAAGAAATGAATAAGTATTATATTTTTTGGATGAAGACATATATATATATATATATACGTTTAATACATGTATATATATATATATATACATTGTTTGGCCAGTTCTCCATTCCTCTCCAGGTGACCGAAAAGGAGCTGTGGGTTTCTGCAGGATACAAGTTTTGGGGTTTAGGTTTCGGGCTTGGCGCTCTGGTCCGGTTGATTGAATCACGGTAGTTTTCGGTTCCGATTTTTGTAGGGGCTGATCTTTAACTCGAACGGGTTCGGCAGGTTGTATTGGAATACTTCCAAAGGGAGAATACGCAACTAGTCTGCTTGTGCAACTATCATAGGGATGACTATTGCAGTTATGTTTCCTCTTTGTGCCTCCATAAACACCAGGCGTGGGATTTAAGACGTCATTGGTTTAATTGGTATATATGCCCCTAATCCCCAAACCCACTTGTACACGAAAGACGCCAACGACATCTTAAATTCCGCGACCACCAATGTAATTATACGTATGTGTGTTTATGTATGCCAATATTCTCGTATGTGTATATGCATGTGGAATGGAAATGCAAGTACTCTCTTCTAGGTTCCCGATTGTTATTCTTGACTGACTTTGGATTTCCCGAAGCCCCAAACCTTCAACCCTCTACCCACAAACAGATAAGTCAAAGACCCAACTTCATTTGACTTTGACCGCCCTATCCGGCATGCTTGCGTTGCGCTCCAACAAAACCCTCAAACTCAAATCCGAAACCCGAAGCACAAGCCTTATAAACCCCGATCTCTGAAGCGCAAACCCCAAACCCTAAACCCTAAACCGAAAACCCAAACCTTCGGCGACGCTCCTGGCTTCCTCCTCCTTCTTTTTCTCCATCGCGACCCAATAAGCCTGCTGCAGGAGACCGGAAGTACTGTCACCCTTCGAATTCACGTGGCATAAAGAGGGGTTTCCGAGAACGAGTCGAGGGCGGCCTTCTTGAGGTTCCTATGAGGGACTACGGCTGGGGTACTGGTACATGGGGCACATAAAGAGAACCCCTATTCGCGGGTTTCCAAATTGGGCGTACCTTGTTGGGGTCTTTTGATAAGGGGATCTCATTATCTGGGGTCAATATTAGGGGTCCCTTATTTTCGTAAACCCCCCTTTGGGCACATGCCCAAAAAAGGGACCCGGCCTTGTAGAGCTTCACCAACCGCATGAGTCGGATGATTCGCACGGTGCCTGAGCTTGCACTCTTCAAGGATCGGGGCAACTCCCTGGATCCTAAACCCTAAACCCTAAACCCTAACCCTAAATCCCAAAACCCTAAACTAAAGCTCGAAGCCATCATGCGGCTCATTCAAACCAACATTGATACACACACACAGTACAGGACGTGCGAATCGCCATCTTCAAAGGACCCGAAAACCCGAATCCCGAAACCCTCAAACCCTTAAACCCACAAACCCTTAAACCCTTAAACCCATAAACTCTAAAACCTAAAGCCTAAACCCCAAACCCTAAACCCTAAACCCTAAACCCCAAACCCGAAACCCTAAACCCTAAAACCCCAAACCCTAAACCCCAGACCCTAAACCTCAAAGCCCAACCCTCGGCCGAGTTGCGACTTGCACGTGCCCCGGCTCGTCCCGCTCGGCTTGTGCGCAGGGCCTGGGGGGGGCGGGGGGCTTCCCCTCCTTTTTGGGGTTAAAACTCAAGGCTGAGGGTTTAGGGTTTAGGGTTTAGGGTTTAGGGTTTAGGGTTTAGGGTCTAGGGTCTAGGGTTTAGGGGGGATTGGGGCACGTTGCCGGGGATCAAGGTGCAGGTTATAGGTTCAAAACGAGTTGTGTTTCCAGCGTAGGGCGTAGGGCGTCCGCGGGTACCTTGTGAGCATGTGCGTATCTGTGCTATGAAGGCTTCGCTGCTTTCCGGTGTGAAGCCCTCATCTCCGCGGCAACACAGGCTCAACAGCCACCATCCCCGCCGCCGCCCTGATACTTCTGCTATCGGCTGAATTTGGGTAAAAAAAACCTATAAATGAATGGCGCAGAATCGTAAGGCATCCTAAGCTGCACCTCCTCGCCCTCGCCGCCAGCACAGAAGAGCTCTCGCGAGACCTCATGAAACTCACGGCTTAGCCCTACTTGCGTGACCATCGTGACCTGGGCAAACACTCAAGAACCAGCTTCCCTTTCTCAAATGAGAGTCAGTCCACCACGTCTTAGCTCGTGAGAGCTGCAGGCAGACCGGCCATGAAACAGCCCCGTCTCCATTCGAAAGACGGTGAAGGAAAGACAAGGGTACCACGCAAGGGCAGTGCTGCTCATTGGCAAGCATGCTTCTGCGCATTCGCGCTTTCTAGCGTCTGTCAGATCTCGAACTTGACGCCCGTAGCTTCCTCACTGGTTCTCCACAGCAACTCGATCGCCTTCCTTGATTGTGTGCACTTACACATGCGCACACACACACAGACACAGACACGCATGCCTACACCCCTACACGCACATGCAAACACCCAGCCAGCCAGCCACCAAGAGCCAGCCACCCAGAGCCAGCCACCCAGAGCCAGCCACCCAGCCAGCCAGCCAGCCACCCGACACCCACCCAAAAACCCACCCAAAACCCAGCCACTCACCCGCGCACGCATGCGCGCTTGCGCTCATATCAAGTACTCTGGCTCTTGATCGTCGAGCTTCGGATCATTCTCATACGGCATGATGGGGTTCTCCACCGCCTTTCCGCTTATGCCGGAGTTCTTGGGGCCATATAGGATGCCACTCTTGGCATCCGGCATCATCATACCTGTACGGCGGTTTACAGGGTCTGCCAAAAGAGTATGAACCCTCATTCAAACCTAGACATAGCCATCCTCAACACATGCAACCCGGACGCCAATCAGAAGCCCCATAGAACCATCCTCCTGGCTCTGGATCATGGCTGGGACGAGACAGCCGACCAAACAATTCCCACAGCAACCGTGATCAAGGCCATCGGCAAGCTTGGTGGCGGAGCCCCCCGGGTGTGCACAAACGGCTCGAACCTTGGAGCCCTTTGATTTCAACTTCTCGGCTAGGCCGTACGTGAAGACGGAGTTAGCCAGCTTGGTCTGGAAGTACCTGTGATAGCAGGCCCCCCCCATAACCTTGATGCTGTTCCCCCCAAGGTTGCCACCGTTCTTCCCGAAGTACTTCTCCTCCAGACCTTTGTTCACTGTGTGAAGGCGACCAACGCTGGAATGGTTCACGATGCGCGCATCCCCTGACTCCTTGGCTTCTGCCTCGGTCAGCAGTGAGTGGAACAAGAAAATCTGCCACAAGCGTCCATGCCTCTCGCGTCCATGCACAAAACACTGGTATTTAAAGCGCTTTATGCCCAAAACACTGGTATTTACAGCGTTGTCGCCTCTTGTACAACATTCTGCACAGGGATGTGGGAACAAGAAGGAAAGCACTGTCAAACCCTCATACCTTCAATTTCTCTCCCGCGAGTAGGTTTATCAATCACCACTTTTCACCTGCTCTCAACACCACCCAAAACCCCTATGTCCGGCAGTTTACATCTGCAAAACCGACCAGGCACTGGCCTAGTAGTAGTAGTAGTAGTAGTAGTAGTAGTAGTAGTAGTAGTAGTAGTAGTAGTAGTAGTAGTAGTAGTAGTAGCAGTAGTAGTAGTAGTAGTAGCAGCAGCAGCAGGAGTAGTAGTAGTAGTAGTAGCAGTAGTAGTAGTAGTAGCAGCAGCAGCAGCAGTAGTAGTAGTAGTAGCAGTAGTAGTAGTAGTAGCAGTAGTAGTAGTGGTAGTCGTCGTAGTAGTAGTAGTAGTAGTAGTAGTAGTAGTAGTAGGAGGAAGAGGAGTAGTAGTAGGAGGAAGAGGAGTAGTAGTAGTAATAATAGTAGTAGTAGTAGTAGTAGCAATAGTGGTAGAGCGGTAGAACGGTAGAGTGGTAGACAAAAATTGCAACAGCAATAGTGGAAAAAAAACATCGCAAGAGTAGTAAGAATTAACAAACATCACCATAGCAACATCGTACAACAGCGGTAATCGCAACACTGATTCGACGGCCTCGAGCAAAGGGAAAAGCTCAGCAGTGAGGAGGAAGTGTGACAGATGGTTCGTCTGCATCTGCGTGTCATATCCATCCTTTGTGGCTTCGTCGGGCGTGGCCATGATTCCAGCGTTGTTGGAAAGGCAGTAAAGCTTGGTGTACTTGCTTTTGATCTCTGCTGCCGCTTTGCGAACGCTCTCGAAGTCTTGAAGGTCGCATTCCACCTCTGCTGGCATCTGGTCTTACAGTACAGTGCCCAACATATAGAAAGGAAGAATAGCCGTCATTCTTTTCTCTGTCTAGTCACGTCCACGTACTTGCCTTCTGGGCAGATGGCCTTCAACTGGTCCATGGCGTCAGAGACGCGCTGAGACTTGCCTGCGAAGAAGTGTGACTGGGGATGGAGGCATTTCCGTGAACCTGTAAAGCCAACGCAGCCTGAACCTGCCACTAGGAGGCCCGTATCAAGGGCATTTCAGGGAGCAGTTCAGGTTCAGGATTGATCAGAGAGTGCTAGCCCATGATGGCAATCAGTCGCCCCGAGCCGGCTTGGCTTCGGCCAAGTTGCGGTTCAGCAGCAGCACCTCCCCGCCCAACTGCGCAACCGTCCAGGCGGCGACAAAACCTTTTCAGGATGAGCGAGACATGTGCCCTATGAAGCCGCAAGGAGGCCCTTTATATGAGCGTTAATGGCGATTGCAATGCACAGGGCAGTAATCTACCATCCTGGGCTTGGGTTTAGCTGAGGTTTGGGGTCCAGGTCTGAAGCCTGGTGTAGTCAGGGCTTATTCAGACCTTAAAGGCGTGTCTTGAAGGCCTTGCCTCAGTTAAGCCTAACATTGCTCTTGGTGACCATGCCTTTAGCTCAGAGGGTCTGCTGGAGCAGCTGGACTATCCTCTCCGAGGGTTCAAAAGCGCATAGATTCAAGAATGCCGACCATTTGCATGGCCCGAAAGCATGATCCAGTTGGGGGGGATGCAGTGCCCGGAGCACTTTTCCGAACAATCCGAACACAACTTGGGCGGAGGGGGGGGGGGGGGAATCAGAGGGGGAATCAGAGTAATCGAGTATTCGGAAATAGATATTGCAAGCACGACTCAGGGCAGCCTAGGCTGGATTTTCACCGTCTGCTCGAACACCGACCCTAGACCCTAAACCCTAAACCCTAAACCCTAAACCCAGAGAGAGTCGAGGAAGCGGTCAGGGAGCCGGTCCCCGATGTGGTGCCGGTGATGGCAAACACCTTGACAAGGTGCTGTCTCACGGGCTCAAGAGTCCAACCGTTTAGGGTTTAGGGTTTAGGGGTTAGCGTTTAGGGTTTAGGGCGACCTCCTGATTCAGCCAGAGGGCCTTCCCATCCACGCGAGGGAGCTCCTTCTGGAACTTCGGAAACCACTTGGGCTTCGGTGGCATCCTTCTTGTGAAGGGGGGCAAAGCACAGCTTGCCTCTGTGCGCGGTGGAAGTAGAGCCCAAACTTGCTGCAGATAGGGGGTTTATAAGGCTTGAGGCTTGGGGGCATAAACCCTAAACCCTAAACCTTAGACCCTAAACCCTAAACCCTAAACCCATGGGCTCCAAAAGCACATTGGCTCAATCATGCATGTGCGATCTTTGACTGACCACCTGGACTGAGACATGGTTTAGCCTGCCAAGCAGGCAGAAGTCCAAGAATAGCGACATGGTTCCCAATAGTCTATATCCATGGCAGTCTCAACACCGTTGTCTTCGGCTATGGTGTTCTGGCGTCCTCACCCCATAGGTTGCGAGAGCTCCAGGAACTAGGAACCTCCCAGTGCTCCGAGGCCCAAGCCCATGTCAAGTCGAGGATCAAAGTGACGGTAGACCCGAAGTCCAGCATAAAGAAAAATCCTCGCAGAAAATCTCAAGCCGTGCAACGGGAGGAGGTAGAGGGCTTGGGGGTTTCCAACATCTGCGAATTTCCTGTAGCCCTGTTTGCTGGAGGCCCGAGCAAGACAGGAGGGGGGTGCAGGGTCCATACCAAGCGAATCTATTTCACACATTTGGGGGGGGATCTTACAGGTTTTGGGGGGCACCGGGTTAGGGGTTTAAGGGTTTAGGGTGTTCAGGGCTTTTCGCGCTGGCCTCAAGGATTCTGAGGCGTTAGAGTTAAGGCTGGGGAAAGCACAACCTCTTTGACAACCCACCTTGCAGCCTGTGCCCATGGACGATCCCACCCAGTCCAATGCTTACCCTCAGGACCCTCAGCTAAAGGGCACGGGCTTGTCTGGTATAATCATCCAAGAATCTCATAAAAAATATCGAATATACATATATATATATATGTATATACATACACATATATGTGAGTCTAGGAAAACAAAAGCAACAATAGGTGTGTATGGGACATGACGAAGCCGCCAAGCTGAGCCCCTCCCTGAACTTCCAGTGCCCTTTTTTCTGGGCCCCTGGCCGAGGAAGTACTCCTCCTGTCCTGGGCTTGAGAGCTCTTGGAACCGGTAAATCCCAAGAAGCCTCGGATAAAAAAGCTCGCCCCTGAAGGGTTGAAGGGTCCAGGGCTTTCACAGGGAAGGGGGGCCGAAACCCCTAAACCCTAAACCCTAAACCCCAAACCCGAAACCCTAAACAAACCCGAAACCCTAAACCCTAGGCCTCAGAATTGATCTCTCAGCACTCAGACATGTTCGTTGGGTGCTCTCACAGCCTGTTTGGACCCTGTCCACTTACGCATCTCAAAAAGGAACCCACCCTTTGCATACATCTATGTGAAAGTAGGTGTACACATATACTCACGTAGATGTATATGAATGTATATACATACATTCAACTGCGTGGCATTTATGCATGCAGGCAGACACGCTTGCTAATCATTAAGTGCCTCTCCCCATCCCCAAAAACTATATTCTCGTCATTTGCTTACGTTTCCTCTCTGAGGTCAGTAGTAGGAATCGGGCGTGGGCTTGGGTTCGGGACCTCTACGTTTCCCCTGCCCCCTCCCCGCTGTCTATCCCCCCCACTCCACCCTCCCCGCTGAGCCAGCCACCCAGACTCTGCGCGAAGATCTCGATCCCAAAAACGAGGCAGGCGATCTCAGATATTTCAGTGACAACTGCTGCGACATGTCGTGGCATGCTTGTGGTCAGGCCTTTGACAGAATGCATGCCCGCCTGCAGATACGAGAACAGATTTCAAAAAGGTGCCTTTTTGATTGGAATAGGGCTTTGGGGGTGAATACCACAAGGGAATTCTATTCGTACTTATTCCGACCCCTTTCTTAGCTCGTGGAGCAGGCTTCTCTTACGGTTGCACCACCACCGCCGCCGCCACCACCACCACCACCACACCACCACCACCACACCACCACCACCACACCACCACCACCACCACCACAACCACCACCAGAATCATCACCGGAACCACTGCCAGAACCCCAACCCTTGCAAGCAAGGGGCCATTGTAAGGACGTTGAACAGCTCATCGGTCTGCTTGTGTGTGACACAAAGGCCTCGGGTGAGAAGGGTCTAGGGTTTAGGGCTTAGGGGTCTAGGGGTCTAGACCTGCGATTTCCTGCCACCCAAACTTACTCTGCCGGAACGCGTTCAAGGTTTAGGGTTCAGGGATGCGTCGCAACTTTATGTGGTCCAAGGGCCACTGAGAGGAATCCAGGTGGCTGGGGCCTGCGCACCTGAACAGATCCCAAACCGCGAAGCCCTAGGCCATCAACCTAGCGCCTCCAATCTCAAAGCTTGAAAAGCCTGCATCTAAATAAATACATATATATATGCATGTATATATGTATATATACATATATATATATACATTATGTATGTATGTGAGTGTATATATATATATGTATATGCACGAAGTCACATCCGAGACTTGACTCCTGAAACTCCCCCTCATGTCCCAGGGACGAAAGTCGTCGCCAAAAAGGGCGTAGATCGTGAGCGCCTCGGTGGGGTATGAGCTCTGGGATCGTTGGGTTTAGGGTTTAGGGTTTAGGGTTTAGGGTTTACGGCTCTGGGATCGTTGGGTTCCGGGGCCAACCTGCACCCCCCACGTACCCCTTACTAAGGGCCTGGGCCCAAGTGTGCCTTCAGGAATCTGGAGGTACCTAGAGCATCTTGGAAGGGTCCTCTGGGGGGTCTATAGGGGTGGTTGTCAAAAATAATGATCCCTCTGGAGTACCCCAAATATTAGGTGCCGTATGATAATAGGGATCCAAAAGGGGACCATAATTTTGCCAACCACCCATAGGAAGAGTCCAGACCAGAAACCCTTAAGTAGATTCTGGCCTGCACACTCCCTTCAAAGCCCAAACGCCCAGGTACGCCCAAGCATAGCATTGGGTCGTCACCCCGTAAACCCCAAATCCACACCCGCCTTTGCTTTTGGGCGCAGTTCGCCGAATCCAGGGCAACAAGAGGCACCGGGATACCGGGCTGTCGTCAACACTGTGAATCGCCAGCTATTGCAAAGACGGCGGCTCTTCTGCCGAATCCACGCCATCCTCCCATGGTTCAGGGTTGAGTACGGGTACACAGAATGAAGGAGCCAGCAAAGTCAATTGCTGCCGCGGCTCCATCCACACATGTTCTTTGTGCAAGGGCAGTAGAGTCTGGACATGTCTATGCAGCACGGCCTTTCGGGATCTCGTAGTTTGATCTTCCTGGCCGAATGAAGGAAAGAGCTTCAGAAGCTTAGGTCAGCAGCTTTCCCTAAACCCTAAACCCTAAACCCTAAGCCCTAAGCCCTAAACCCTAAACCACAAATTAGGCGGCAGGAAAACTAACCCCGAAATATCCGGAAGACTGCCCAGGACTTCACACACCAGGCTTACATGTTCTCGAAGCCCCACGGCCAAATCCGGACGAAGCCTTTCAAAGAGTGCCGAACTTAAGACGTAATGCAGAACTCTGCAGGTCAGTTGGGATACATGATAAAGAGGCTCAAAGTATTGAGGAAGTTTTGGGTTATTTGGGTGAATTGTGTCCCTAAACCCTAAACCCTCAACCCTAAACCCTAAACCCTAAACCCTCGTGCGTTTAGATTCACGCGGCCTGAGTCGCCGAAGCAGCTTCTGCAGTTGGGTCATCGCCGTGGGCTTCCCGGGCGGCGCACTGGCACCGAGGAGTGCGGCAGAAGCTTGGGGGGGGGGGGGGGGTTGGCGTTTCTGTTTAGGGTCGGTTTAAGGTGAGGGGGGGGGGGCCTTTCTGTTTAGGGTTTACGGTTTAAGGTTTAGGGGGGGGGGGGGGGGGAGGTTGGTTCTCTTTAGTCCTTTCGTAGGCCTTTGAATGGGGTTGTAAGGTCGGGGATTCGGGCTACTGGGGGTTAAGCGCGCACATCTCTGCATAATTGCTGAAGCCTTCGTGTTGTCAATCCCAAACATTCCTACTTCCGATTCTGGTGTCGATGGCACTTACCCCATGGAGGAGGAAGAGGAGGAAGAGTGTAGGAGTCGAACTCAACCGTAAGTCCTGTCCCTAGTCCTCAACTCGCATGACCCGAACAAAGAATCGCTGAACCTCGTGGTCCTGCTCTTTTTGGAGGGGCTTGTCGGTGGCCGCCCCTGGGTGTAAAATGAAGGACTCGCTCGTCAAGTCCCTCCGAATGGGATATCCAAGGGCTGGCTTGGGCTTTAAGGGGGGTGAGGGATTAGGGACGGGGGCGGGGGGGGGGGTTGGATAGTTGGATTCATGACCTCTAGCGGTTGGTCTCATTCCAGCTGGTGAAATTTTCTGAGAGCACACCTTACAGCAAATCTGCCCTGCACGAGAGCAAAGCCAGTGCTCAGTGAGGTCCCGACATGGCCGGGTGAGAACCTGTGCACGGCTTTTGCGGTTGTTTAAGGTTGAAAGTTTTGAGGGCTTTCAGGGTTTTTTAAGGGTTTAGAATAGTTGCTTGAGAACGTATAGGGTACGCAGGGCCTGGTTTTAGAGCTTTGGGGGTTCCGCCAGCGCTTGAAGGCAAGCACACCCCTGGCTTTGGATCGCTTGCCGGTGTGGCATGTGTTGTGGGGCATCATTATGAATATTATTAATGTTTTTTGTGACAATTATTGTTATTCATAATATGATTAGTAATATTTTTACGAATATGATTATTTTTAATATTATTATCTTCCGGCCTTGCAGTAACTCCTCTGGCCAGGCCTTCAAATACCAGACCCCACAACCACCAAGATTCATTTCCGCGGGGAACATGAGATCCAAACTATGCATTTCTTGGCATTGCTTGCCCCCTTTTCACTGACTCTGACTCGGCAGCTTGAGCGTCTCAAGCTGGTTTAACCCAAGTCCCAGGCCAATGAGATCTCGATGGATCATGAGCATGGTGAGAACACTTCGCGGGTCATGACATACTTGAACACTGGGAAACTATAGGCCCAAAAGCTGCAACCACCATGACGCCCCTTACTTAACATATTCGTGCTTCTCAGGCTGTTGAAAGGTTTAGGAACATCCTGAACCCCCTGCTTGGTCATGGGTTCTCCTGGCCTGGGGGGCTGTGGATGCACGGAGTTCGCGCCTTTCATGGCCCCTGACAAGCGCAGATGGGGGTTAGTGTTCCAAGCTGAAGGTGCCATGTTGAGAAGTTCGGTGTTGCATTTCACTTGCAATCAATCTTCTTCATCTTTGCAGTAGAAACTGTTCCTGCAAGCAGATCGAGATTTCAGACGACAGTGTACGTTGACTTTGAGCTTTCTTGGTACTTCAAGGGTCGCGTAGTTCGTGGAAATATCTCTCTTCAAGGGCTCTCTGCCGTCGCCCCTCGAAGACTACGTGGAAGAACGCTGGCCTGAATAGCTGATGAGCCCCGGCAGCTCCCTTGCGCGCCTTGCTAGCTACACCTGAAGGTCAAAGCCATCGCCATCGCGAGAAAATGGCGCAGAGCGCCTGTTGCCCTCGACTGGCTTAGTGAGGGCTTCTGCTTGAGGAGTCTGCATGTCGGGCTCATGGCACATGGCCAGGGCTCGCGGTGTGAAAACTCTGTATCTTGGGCTTACATGGGGGCGGGCATACTTTAAGGTCGATGATTCTAAACTGGCCTGTTGAACTCTAACAAACAGCAACAGCTCTTCTGTGTTGGTTCTAGCAAGCCTCTACAGCCCTAGAACCCACATGTCGCGCCGTCCGGCTTGGCCGGCTGAAACGCTGCGGCGAATCGCAACGAATCTCGCATGGACATCTCGAGCAACACTCTGCTTTTGGAGAACTTCAAGGGACTGAAGGAGGGAGCCTTTTAAATAAGGGACCTTAGGGGTTATTTCGGGGGTATTTCTTGCCCTTCAAGAACTAGAGCCCTGAAAAGAAGCCTTTGCCCCCGGAAGAGATACAACTCTGTGGATGCCCAAAGTCTCCACTGATGTGGCATCTGACCGGTTCCGCTTAACGTCTGGCCACTAGGTTAACCCATGGTGCCCTCCAAGCCCTAAACACGCCAAACCCCTAAAACCTAAGCCCATGCGGAGGGGCGCTGCCAAGAGCAATCCTTTGGTATGTCCCTCCAGTCTGTGATGCGAACTATTTACTAGAGCCCGTGCTCCAAGCCCCTTCTGTCAAAAACCCTCAGTTTCAAAAACTCATACAACCTGAACCCCTAAATCACAGCGGGTGCATACAAGCTTTCCGGACTCTACCGAACATTAACAAGCTCAAACGAATCCAAGTCCAAACTCCGCGCAACCAGCAACACACAGTGCTCATGTTCAAACCCTTCTTCGAAACCATGCTGTACTTGCCCGGCTTCTTCTGGGAATGAAAGGTTACCACTTGAGAATGCTGCTACTTCACAGAGGTTACCCACTCGACTGCAAGGACCGGAAACCGGGGGCCGAGAAGCGTACACAATGAGCCCGGCGGCGTACCTGCTCCCGGGGAGGGATGAGGGGCAGCGGGGCAGATTGGGACAGACCCCCGATCTTCGAATCAAATGCCTAGTTAACGGCCATAAATTTCAAAAACAATTGGGATTGCTCTTGTCTTTCACATATTCCCGAAGTAAGCTATATATATATATATATTGGAATATCTGGGAAGCTGAAGATATCTTAAGTTTGTTGTGCCAGACAACAGGCACAGGTATTGTGGGTCTGTGTGGTTGTGGGTGATATTGAGAATTATGGTCCAGGGATTCTGCTCTTTTATATGCAAGGGGCAAGGGTGCATTGCCAGTCAGTTGTATAGTGACTTGTACCATACGACTGTCTTCCACGTGCATTCTCCAGAGAAGCTGGCCCAGCCCCAGGCATCAACACACACTCTTGCACATACACATCATGAGCGGAGACATGGACCCCCTAAACCCTAAACCCTAAACCCTAAACCCTACACCCTAAACCCAAAGCCTAAACCCTAAACCCATGGGCATTGCCTTCAACAACGCTTCAAGCGACGGCGTGTGCCGGCTTGAAGAGGTATCCAGAGATTCAGGTCCGTGGCTGCCCACCCCGCCGCAAACCCTAAACTCCTGAACCCTAAACCCTTGAACCCTGAACGCTGCTAAGGCTCAATATCCTCAACTACAACTTATGGCTTTGCCGCTGACTGCTGCTTCGTGGGAGCCGGGATCCGAAAAATCTGAGGCTCTCGGATGCAACTAGGATTCATAAGGTTCATAAGAGTTCACAAGAGTTCATGAGTGATTCATGAGGGTTCATAGGGATCATCGGGCTCACAGGGTTTCTGGAAGTTTGTAAGGCTTTGGGGTTTCGAGCTTATCGGGTTTGCAGAGTTTGTAAGGCCTAGCGAGATGCTCAGGGTGCATTTGGGCTTGCAGAAGATTTGTAGGGCTTGTGGGGTTCATGGGGTTCACAAGCTTATAGTGTGTATATGGCTTAGAGGGTTCTTGCAGCTCATCGCGATTACACGGGCTCTCAACGAGAGGATCCTTGAAAACCACGACACACACACACACTCACACACACTCACACACACACACACAAAGACGACGGTTCGAAAGTCTCGACTCAACTGGGCCTCGCGCTACTCACACGGGTCGGCTGCAGAAGCAGAAGCAGGGAGCTACAGTGGATATAAAAAACAAACATACTATATGCACCACATGTATTCATGTAAATGCTACACTACAGTATATGTATATATATATATACATACATACATGCGTGTGCACAGTAGATATGTTGACCTTTTTGTAAGCATCCATTGCATCATACTATTGATCCATTTATCCGCTGTATTACACTAATGATTCTAAATGGTATCAAAACAAAGCAACAGAACCACAACAACAATACTTTGAGCGGCTTTCATTCAAGCAATGGCAACAACCTCATTGACGTCTGCTCTGCTTCTATGGCTGTGATCCTCAAATAAGTGAAGGATGCGGCGGTCAAGACTTCCTTGTTGGCTGAACATGCCTCACTCAAAATCAACATGCTAATGTGCTAACTGAACAGGCGTTTGCGAAAGGCTTCTGCGCACGTATACAGACATGTATGTGAATACGGGACCCCGAATATAGACCCCCAAATAGATTCCCTTATGATAAGGACTGCAAGAAGGTACCCAAAATTTCGGAGACCCCTAAATGTCTGATCTAAAAAAGCGTCTGCTTCATCGCAGGCCTCCCAACATCAATGTGCCTAAACCATACATGCCCAAAGCCCTGGACCAAGCATGGAAAAAAAACAAGCAAAGCGGGTCTTTCTACCGGGAGCTTCTGCGTGCTGCGCTCGGATGGCATGCTGCACGTTTGTGGCAGCGGGTCTCCCCATCTCGGGGATATGATTTATCCTAAGCCTGCACCCTAAACGTCAAGGGTGTCCTTGTGGGGTCCAATTTGTAAGGGCTCAGAGTTTTGGTAAAAGTAGGGTTCGGTGCTACCCAGCTGTCCGACGCTTGAAGTGAAGCAGTGCAGGTTTGAGGAGGGCTTCCCACCGTTCGAGAGGCCCTCTCAAAAGCATGCAAAAGCAGGCGATGTGCATGTTCCCCAGCGTCTTCTACGCCTAAATTTGCCCTTGGACCCCTATATGCCCAAGGCCCTGAACCCTCAACCCGAAACCCCAAACCCACAACCAGGAGTCCAAAATTGCAGATGCTTTCGACTGTTCACGGATTAGCCCTATAAACCCCGAATCCCCTTGGGCAATTTCAAACGGTGCTACCCCATCTCTAAGCCAGCGAATACAGGCTGAAGGTACATCCTCTGAAAAAAATCCCGAATATGATCCTCTTCAACCCAACAAGCGCAAATATCAAAGCATCCCAAGGCGTACCTCGCAAAGGACTCCGATTCTTGCTCCAGATCCCCTACAACATCACCCCAAGACGCGTGAGCCCCTTAGCCCTTAGCTAGCGTCTCATGCAGAGTCGCCTTGCTACCAGAGCCGTGTGCTGAATCAGCTGCCGCTCAACGATACTTTGGCGGCGCCTACGTTTGGGTTTCTAGGTGCTTTGCAGCGTGGCTTTTCTGGTGAAGGGGGGGAAGGGGTGGTGAGGCTTGAAGGCTGAGGGCCCCGAATACGGATGCGACATGCACTCCTTTTGTTCCACACCTTGAGACACGTGTGCTCATTCCTATATGTCTATACACATACACACCTCTAAAAAGTATAAAAATAAATATAAATAATTATTATATATATGTTTGATGCGATTGAACCTCTGATCGTTGTGGGCATGTGCAGGTTCAGGTCTTCCAAAACCAAACCCTAAGCCCTAAGCCCTAAACCCTAAACCCTAAGCCCTAAACCCGAAACCCTGAGCCCGAAACCCTGAGCCCTAAGCCCTAAACCCTAAGCCCTAAACCCGAAACCCTAAACCCTAAGCCCTAAGCCCTAAACCCTAAACCCCAAATCCTAGGGCTCCCATTGTTCTCCCAGTTGCCAACCTGTGTTGCCAGCACCACTCGGTCGACGGAACAAGTTTCGAAGCCTGAACTATAGGCATGATAGGCATGATAGGGTTTAGGGTCTAGGGTTTAGGGTTCAGGGTTCAGGGTTTAGGGTTTAGGGGGGTTTGGGGTTTAGTGGTGTTTGCATGTACAGAAACGGATCCGAGAAATGCGACCGATTTTGCGAATGCGTTAAAAAATTGAAACAAATGTGTCACCTGCGCCGGAGAGTGCAGAATGTGGTGCTCGAAATGCAAGAAAAATGTACGCTTTCCTTTGTTTGTTCGACAATTTGTCTTGCTTTTGCTTTTGGGGGGCGTGCAATTTCGCATCGCTTTTGGGAGCATTCCCCTGTATTTGGCATTTTAACTACATCCGGGCTTCCTGGGTTGTACCTGCTGTCGAACCACAAAAGTTTAGGGTTTAGGGTTTAGGATTTTAGGGTTTAGGCCTAAACCTCCACCGGCGTAGGGATTCGCGCCTAGGATGATTTCGGGTTTTTGGGTTGTGTCCTGGGAGCGCCGTTAAGTGCACCAGAGGCCGGCGCAGAAGTGTGTCATGCTCATGGATTGTCCAGTGATGCGTACTTGGCGAAGCAAACCGTGCAGAACTTGAAGATATTGCTTTCATGAGTCTCTACGTTGAGCCCCTTTGTCCAGAAGCCAAAAAGCATATGTAACC